ACAAGACCAAAAAAAAAAGAAGAAGAAGAAGAAGGAGGAGGAGGAGGAGGAGGAGGAGGAGGAGGAGGGGAACCAATCTTCTGGAGGGAGAGGGGCTGTCCCACCTGGCTCTAGGCAGAGCCACCCTGTCTGCCCTCTCGTCAAGCCCAAGCTCGAAGGCGGGTTACAGCTGTCAAGAGGATGGTGGCTCAGGCTCAGCCATTTTTTCTCCAAATCACCTTCAATCCAAGGAGTCATCTTAGGCCCTTAGGAGGAGCGGGTGGCATCTGGAGTCAGAGCTATAGACGACAGAGCTGTTAAGTCAGGGTCTCAGCCTCTCTTAATGGATCTTCCAGACACTGTTAAAAAAAAATCAAGTTATTTGCTCCCGATGGCAACAAGAAGCAGGGCCAGGACTCTCTCCAGACCTTTCTGAGAAAGGCCAGGAGAGGGCTGAGGGGTAGGGCAGAAAGGAGGAGGAGAAAAATGGTTACTGAGGAGTGCCTCCTGGTGCCGTCATGAAAGGCAATCTCAGACTCTCGTCCCAACAGCCCTCAGACTAATGGGCGAGTACACCCAGGTAAGCACACCCAGACGATGGGGGGCCCCGCTCACAACTGGGTAGTGGCTGAATGAGCTTGACTGGTTCTTGGGATTTGAGCCCCAGCCCTGCCTCTTGCCATCTTTGTGCTGTGGCAAATTACTTCCCCTCCTTGATTTCTTGGTTTCTTGCTACCTCTTTGGACTTCTGTGAAACATACACGTGACAGTTTGCAGCACAGGAACTGGCTAGCTCTAGGGGTTGTTCTGGGAGTCAGAATTTGCTCCAACACTTCGTGGACCAACGTGGAGCTTACTAACTGCTGGGTGAGTGTTCTGAGTCAATGACCCTGAGCTCCCACCTCCTCTCAAGGCTTCACCCCAGTCCCCCTTGCAGCCACTGTGGCCGATCACAGGCTGGAGTGGAGGTGGGAGAAGATGCGGGGATCTTCCTCCCTTCCTGATCCTGGTTGTACCTGGAGCCTGCAGCCTGCACAGGACAGAGGAGATGAAGACTTTGGTACTGGGGCAGGGGGCAGGGGGGCGCTCCGTGGAGGGGTAGAATAGTGAAGATAGAATTGGGAGCCATGTTCATCTGGTTTTGAGTTTCGAGTGGCACAGGACATGTTCCCACTTAAGGCCTCAATTCTCACTCTATAAAATGGGGATAACGATGACACCCCCTGAGGATTGAAAACTGTTAGGTATTGTATGCTGGTGAGGGTTCCCCAGGGAGGAGGCTAGGTTCTGCCCTCAGAGCCCTCTGGGAGCCTACGGTGGGAGAGGCTAAGAAGGATTAGGTGACCCGATGGGGGTCCACAGAAAAGGGGATTGGGAAACTCTTGCCTCTGCCATCCCAGCTAAATCAAAGGACAGCCTAGAGCCGACCACGTGTGACTGGTGGGGAAAGTGAGTTCTTGAGGCGCAGTGTGACTTACTGAGGGAGAGTGAAGTGGGGTGAGTAAGTAAATCTGGGGTAGGAAGCTGCATTCAAACCTTCCTGAGGTTTCTGGTGCCATCTAGCTCCTGCTAACACCTCCAGGGTTGGGGGACGGGGGACACTTAGGCAGCACAGCCCTGGGATGGGCCCTGGGTGTGTCCTGAAGATGTCTGGGATTCATGTATCATGTTTGCTCCGGAACGCGTCCCAGGCCAATTCAGGGACAACCTCTCACCCCTCAGTATGGAATGAGATGATAAGTGAAAAGGCTCTTTGCAGACTACAAAGTTCGTGCCTCTGAGGGGGCATGAGCCTGTGTATGCAAGCCCTTGGGGGTGTACGCACAGGTGAGAACATGAAGCTTGTGAGTGTGTGCGCACATGTGTGCAATGTGTGTACGTGGACATGTTCCCCTGGCCTGGCGGGGTGGGGTGACCCCACGCTGCCCAAGGCTCCCGGTTTAGCTAGGGCTTTTCTCCTCTACACTTCTTACAATCAGTGTGTGTGTGTGTGTGTGTGTGTGTGTGTGTGTGTGTGTGTGTTTCCTCATTGCTTCCTAGTTTACCAGAAAGGGAGCAGGCCATGGTCCAGAAACCTAGCAATTGTCTCTGAGCCTGCTGACTCTTCTTCCCTCCCGCCCACCATCGCCTCATCCTGTGATTGTCCCTAGAGGCCTGACTGCCTGTCGCTCCCAGCCTGGCGTGGTCTGCAGGGCTGGCGCCTTGCCTGGCTCCTCTGTGTGGCTCACCTGCCACCCACATTTCCTTCCAAGACTCTGGGCTGGCTGCTGTCATGCCGTTCTCCCATCCAGCCCCCTCCAGAAGTGCTCTTATGATTCCCATCTTACACGTAGGAAATGAAGCCTGAGTGAGGGGAAGTGGCTTTCCCAGGGTTACCCAGCCAACTAGTGGCATTTCTGGAGTTTTTTAACCGTGACCCGACTCCAGAGACTTTATTCTTAACTGTTGTGACTCACCTAGTGGGCATGTGCTGGCTGGTTGGCCGAATGAATAAATGAAGGAGAGAACAAATGAATCAATCAGTCAGGCGGTACTGAGCGGAAAGAGCAGGTGAAGTGAGGATAGCAATGGCTGCCATTTATTGAGCACCTACTAGGTGCCAAGTGCTCCAAAGTCCTGAGACTGAACCAGCGAATACAACCAACCTTGTTGCTCTCCCCATTTTGCAGTTGAGGAAGCTGAGGTTCAGAGAATTTAAAGCATGGGACCTGGGATTCGAATTTGTCCTCCCCAGAGGAGGGAAGAGTCGGCAGAGTCTGGCGACTGGTGCTCTCTGTAGCAGAGGCCAGACAAGACTCTCAGGCAGCTGTGTCTACAGAGTTCTCCCCAGTGACACTCCACCCCAGCTCTCTGGTCCCGGGCCCATTTCCCCATTTGTCTCTGAAATGGGTTCCTATTTCAGTCTGGTGGGTACTGGTGGCCCAGCTCAGACTCTTCCTCTCTGACTGTCAGCATGTCTAGTAAGGGCCAGAGCCCCAGCCTGAGCAAAAGGAGGTGGCCTCCTGTTCCCCCTGCCCCAGGGCTGGCCTTGTCACTAGCAACTGCCATGGGAGGGCAGGCCTGGCCAGGGTGCTGCTGTGGGTCTGTGGAGATGGCCTAGGCTAGGTCTGTGGTCTCCATGCCCAGCGCTGCGCTGGATGCCAGGGACCCAGGAGTAAGTAGGTGCAACTTTCCACTTAGCCAACTTGGGACGAGTGCTGAGCCCTGGGTGGCTTGCATCTCTAGTAGTGCAGGCAGATCCTGGTACCCTGACTTCCAGCGCAGCACTTGTTTGGGAGTGGGGGGTGGCTGGGACTGAGCGAGGGCTGTTCTGTGGCCCCAGGAGTGAGCTGACCTGCGGTGTCTAGGAGACAGATCTCAGCCCAAAGGGATGACATTGTATCTGCTGAGCCAGGGGGTTGAGAACCAGCCATTCAGGTCAGCAAAGTTTTCCTGAGCACCTCCGATTAAGGGGCAGAGACGGGGGGAACCCTCTGCATAGGGAAAAGAAATCAGACGTTGAAATCAGAGCTGAGTTTGAATCTAGGCACCAGTATTTGCTGGCCGTGTGATCTCAGACAAGTTACCTAACTTCTTGGAATTTCAGTTTCCCCACCTGTAAAATGGGATGCTAGAGCATACCTGAAAACTCACAGAGTGGTAAATAAGACCGCATAGCATTACTGTAGGTTCCTACAAAGTGTTAATTCATTTCCCGCCTCACCCTGGAGAGCCCTTCATCTAGGGAGGAGACACTCCTCTAGGCAGCAGCTGGTCTGGTGGTTAAAGCAGGAGACAAAACTTGTAAAGATGTTAGGAGGAACCCTATAGATTCACCAACATTGACATCATGGGGCACAGTCTCATTTCTCATGTCTCAAAGGGGAAATAGAGACTCAGAGAGGCTGATGTGTGAGACATCCTGAAATGTCTCTGTTGTAAAAAGTTGCTAGAATAAAGCAGATACTAAGTTAAAATCCAACAGCCCCCATCCTCGGTTTCCTGACCCTCCCGGAAACCTCCCTGTCAGACTCCCAGGCTTAGAGAGATTCACTAAGGACTTACTTTGTGCCAGGCCTAAACCACAGCTGTATCACAGATGTACTTTACAGTAACAGCAACAACCATGAAAGGCAGATACTATGTTTAATAAATGGGTAACCCAAGGCTTAGAGGGATGTGTAACTCGTTCAAGGTCATACAGCTAATAGTAGCAGACGAAAGTATCCCAGGGAAGACTAACCCTGAAACCCTGACTCTCCTACTCCACGGGGCACTGGTTCCATTAAAAATGTCAAACCTCAGATAAGAAATACATAAAATAAAATGTTAAAATGGGAATGACAACATGAAAAAGCAGTAATTAGGACAATAGAAATCAAAATCACAATATAATACCACTTTACCCCCATTATAGTGACTTTAACGAAAAAAACAGAAAGTAGCAAGTGTCGGAGAGGAAGTGGGGAAATTGAAGCTCCCATACATTGCTGCTGGGAGTGTGAAACAGCACAGCCACTTTGGAAAACAGTTTGGCAATTTCTCAAAAACTTAAATGTAGAGTTGCTATAGAACCCAGCAATTCCTCTTTTGGGTATATATCCAAGAAAGCTGGAAGCATGTATCCATGCAAAAACTTCCTACAGTGTTCATCGCTGTGTTATCCATAATAACCCAAAAGTGGAGATAACCCAAATGTTCATTAACTGATGAATGGACAAACAAAACTTAGTATTTCCCTCCCGTGTAATATTACTCACCTGTGAAAATGGAATTCTGAGCCATACATACATGTATGAATCCTAAAGACATTATGCTAAGTGAAATAAGCCAGAAACAAAAAGGCATGTATTCTGTGATTCCCCTTTACATGAAGTCTCCAGAATGGGCAAATCTATAAATACCGAAAATCAGTAAGTAACTTCCACAGAATGGAAGGAGAGAGGAATGAGAAGTGCTAACGGGTACAAGCTTTCTTTTGTGGTAAGGGCAATGGTCCGAAATTAGATAGTGGGGATGGTTACACAGTCTTGAGAATATACTATAAGCCACCAAATTGTACATTTTGAAAGTGTGCATTTTATGGTAGGTGGATTACGTATTGATTTTTCAGAAAACAGAAGCAGGAACATACAAGGGGCCCAGAAGGTTGAGACTAATGTGGACGCTAGGGCAGAAGCACAGATAAATTCGACTGTGAGCTTCCTGGCATCTGGACCAAAAAGGGAGAAGCATCCTCCCGGAGGAGGAAAGGGCCAGCTCCAAAGGAAGGCCAACTCTCCCACAGTTTCACTCTAAGGTGAGAGTCCTCCAAGCCTGAGTCGGCTGACTATCATAATAAATTGTCGAAAACACGAATTCCCTCCATCTCCCACCAGCAATTCTGAAACAAGGATCATCAAGAACTTTGAAGGGCCATCCAAGCTGACAGGTTAGCCTACTGCGCTTCTGACAGATGCTGGCAGAAGACCTGACTCCTGGTTGCAGATGGAGAACTTTGTTCCTCAGCAACAGAAGCAGGGAGAATGTCGGTATTAGCACTGGCTCGGCAAGCCCCAGTTCCCACAAGGGCAGTAGAACACAAGGCCGAGTAATGCCTGCACACACAGTGGGCTGCGTTCTGATAAAGGAACCTGGACCTGAGGCAACTGGAATCTTTTACAATGGGCAGTCAGCCTGCCTGATCTTTGCCCCAGAGGAAGGCATCACCAACTGTGCAGGGTTTTCCCCTCCTGATGTCAGCCAGTTCTGACACCAGCTCTGAGGGGGTAGCCTGGACCTCACAGGGGAAGGGTTCAGTCCCACAGGACAAGACTGTCCCCCAGCTCAGATGCCAGTCACCAATCCTGGACCTCGCATGCTTCTGACTGACTAGCTGTATCTCAGGAGTTCCTACAACCCCCTTCTCAGGTTTGATAATTTGCTAGAATGGCTCACAGAACTCAGGAAAGCACTTTATTGAACTATTACCAGATTATTATTGGTTTTTTTTTAAGATTTTATTTGTTTGAGCGAGAGAGCACAAGCAGGGGGAAGGGGCAGAGGGAGAGGGAGAAGCAGACTCCCCGAGGAGCAGGGAGCCTGATGTGGGGCTTGATCCTATGACCCTGGGATCATGACCTGCCCCGATGGCAGATGCTTAACTGACTGCGCTACCCCGGCGCCCCCTACCAGATTATTTAAAGGATACAACTCAGGAACAGCCAAATGGAAGAGGTACATAGGGTGAAGTATGAGGGAAGGGACACAATCTTCCCAGCTCTTGACCTGTTCACCAACCTGGAAGCTCTCCAAACCCTGCCATTTTGGTTTTTTTAAGAAGGCACCATTACATAGACATGATTGCTTAAATCACTGGCCATTGGTAACTGACCCAATCTCCAGCCCCTTTCCTTTCCATGGAGATTAGGAGCAGGGCTGAAAGTTCTAAGTTTCTCATCAATATTTGTTCTTTCTGGCAACCACCCCCATCCTGAAATCATTCAGAGGCCAGCCAAGAGTCAACTCGTTAGAACAAAAGATGCTCCTATTATGCAGGAAATTCCAAGGAATTTAGGAGCTCTGTGTCAGGAATTGGGGACAAAGACAAAAATATACATACATATACATATATATGTGTGTATACACACGTAAGTGTGTGTATATATGCATGTATGTATATACATATATATAAAGATTTATTCATTCTAGAGAGAAAGCATGCACGAGCTGGGGTAGGGGGAGAGGGGGAGAGAGAATCTCAAGCAGACCCCCCCTCCACACTGAGCACAGAGCCCGATGCAGGGCTTCATCTCACGACCAACCCTGAGATCATGACCTGAGCCGAAACCAAGAGTTGGCTATTTAACCAACTGAGCTACCCAGGTGCCCCCCAAATATGTTTCTTACAGCACACCTAAAAGTCACCATTTTAACCTTTTTTGAACGCACAGTTCAGTGGCACTAAGTACATAGTTGTGTAATCAAAATCACCATCCATCTCTAGGACTTTTTTGTCATCCCAAACTGAAACACCATACCCACTAAATAATAACACCCCACTTCTCTCTCCCCCAGCCCCAGGTAACCAGTGTTCTCCTTTCCATCTCTATGAATTTGAATGTTTTAGATACCTCATATAGGTGGACTCATACAGTATTTGTCCTTTGTATCTTGTTCGGGTCACTCAGCATCGTGTTTCCAAGGTTCATCCGTGTTAGAGCATCTGTCAGAATTCCCTTCCGTTTGAAGGCTGACTAGTGTTCTGTTGTAGGGATAGACCACTGTTTATCCATTCTTCTGCTGATGGACAGTCAGGTTCTTTCTACTTTTTGGCTACCGTGAATAATGCTGCTGTGAACATTGGTGTATTCATATCTGTTTGAGTCTGTTTACAAAGAAGTTTCAATTATTTTTACCTAGAGGTGAAACTGCTGGATCTCTAAGGCAATCCTATGGGTTGTTTTTTTGTTGGTTTTTAAGGAACCGCCATACTGTTTCTCACAGCGGCTGCGCCATTTTGCATTCCCACCAGCAATGCACAAGGGTTCCAGCATCTCCGCGTCCTTCCCAGAACTTGCTATTTCCTGGTCTTTTGTCTTGTTTTGTTTTGTTTTAAATAGCCATCCTAATAATGAGTGTGAGGTGGTTTCTCATTATGGGTTTGACTTGAGTCTCCCTAATGATGAGCAGCAGCTTTTTGTGGGCTTATTGCCATCTGTGTGTCTTCCTAGGAGAAATGTCTGTTCAAGTCTTTTGCCATTTTTTGAATTGGGTTGTTTGGCTTTTTTGTTGTTGAGTTGTGGGAGTTCTTTGTTTGGTTTGGATATTCATCTTTTTTCCAGATACATGATTTGTAAATCTCTCCCATTCTGCACAAAAGTTTTAAATCTTGATGAAATCCAATTTATCTGTTTTTTTCTTCTGTTGCCTGTACTTTTGGTGTCCTAGGGGTCAGGGCTGCTTTGATTGCAAGTGACAAATGGAACTGGTTTAGGCAAGAAAGGTCTTATATGTTAATGTAAAGAAAAAGTCGAAGGTAGACCTGGATGAGGCCTGACTAAATCTAGCAGTGACAACAATGCCATCAGCACTCTTTTTATATCCTCCCTCCTGACTTTCTGCTTGTTTCCTACATTGGCCTGCAACTTCTTTCTAGAAGCACCAGGTTTCCATGACCCTCACAATTAATAATCCTAGAGGAAAAGGGAGAGAAACTTTCAGACTGGTTCCCCCACAATTCCTAGAGCAAACTTTGATTGGTTTCCCCTAAACCAATCACCAGTAACAGGTCTGTGTGGAGGTTCTAACTGGTCAGCTCGGGGTCGGATGCCCACTTCAAATGAACAAGATCACCATGTGGTGAGGGAGGGAGTTTCCCATAGCAAGAGATGCTTGACAGGCAAACATTCCTCCCCCAAAGAGGTCTGGGAAAGGGCATCCCTCACCTCAGACTTCCCATGGGGAGCCTTGGGAGAAGTAGAAGGAATCCTTTTAGTTGCTCCCAGATGACTTCCTTCCCTAGGGGAAGCCCCGTGACTAGTGGGAGTGTGAGCTCCGGTCAGGCTGGGTCCCAGGCAGGTTGGGCAGAGATTGGAGGGGCTGGATTTCCCTGGCACCTGAGAACCTCCCTACTCCAGCCCTAGTGTATTGTGGGAGCTTAGAACATGTGCCTCTGGAGCCAGACTGTATGCGCTCCTTGCCCAGTAGCCGTTCTTTCTACCTGTGCTACCTTGGGTAAGTCAGCTAACGTACCTGTGCCTTGGTTTCTCCACTTGAGGGATTAAACGGAGATAATACCTGTCTTATCTCAGGGCCGTCATGAGGATTGCATGGAGTGTGGTATATCTGGCACACAGTAAGGGTCCAATAACTGAATCATTAATAGGATTCATTGGGACCTCTTTTCCAGCTGCATTTGCCAGTACACTGGCAGCTCCAGCTGGGCTCAGCATCCTTCAACATGCCCCGTCTAGCCTCAGCCCTTGCTGTTCCCTCTGCCTGAAATGCCTTTGCCTCCATGTGCACTTGGCCTTTCCATTACTGCCTCCTCCACGGAGCCTTCCCTGCCTGCAGAACCATCCCCTTCCCTTGCCTGGGCTTCAGCAGGAGTCTGGAGCATGGATGCCTGCCTCAGTAATGGGTCTTCAGGATCCCTGTCTGCACTGAGCTCCTGAGGGCAGGAAATGGATCTCCTTTGTCACTGAGCCCGCGGTGGGGGTTGGCCAGTGGCAGATGTGAGGAGCAGGCAATCCGGGGGCCAGCGGAAAGAGTTCTGAGTGAGGAGCAAACATCCCAGGAACTGAAAGTAGCTCTAGGCCCCGCAGGTCGCATGTGAGGGACAGGCATGAATGCTAAGAACAGAGATGTCAGCAGGGCCCTGCTTGGCCCTTATCTCCAGGCCCTGGGGAACCATAAAATGCTTAGGCAGGGGAGCGATGAGGTCAGATTTTTGCTGAGCAAAGATCCCTCTAGCTGGCTGGGGAGATGGAAGACAGCACTGGGTGGATGTGGTCTAGGCTGAGGCAGGGACCACAGGATGAGATGAGCAGACAGTCTGATGGATGTTAGTCTTTTTTTTTTTTTTTTAAGATTTTATTTATTTATTTGACAGACAGAGATCACAAGTAGGCAGAGAGGCAGGCAGAGAGAGAGGAGGAAGCAGGCTCCCTGCAGAGCAGAGAGCCCGATTCGGGGCTCCATCCCAGGACACTGGGATCATGACCTGAGCCGAAGGCAGAGGCTTTAACCCACTGAGCCACCCAGGCGCCCCTGGATGTTAGTCTTGGTGATTGCTTTTAAGTGGAAAATGGCAATGAGCACGTCCTGCCCACCCCCACCCCCCGCCTCTGTGGATGAGGCTGGATACAGACGGGCACCAGAGCTGACCACCTCCAACAGTCAGTAACCATATCCCGCATGCAGTACCACATGCTCCCCACAGCCCATCCCCTTCCCTGGGTGGGGTCCAGGTCAAGCACAAGCCTGGACACTGAGGAGGCTTGGTCACATCTCTAAGCTCCAGGGACCAGAGCCAGGTCTCTTCACCCACCCCACCCTGGGAGAGCTGGTAGGGCTGGGGACAGAGGCCGGGCCTGGCTGAGCTGTGCTGGTGAGATGGAAGACTCCCTTGGGCAGGGTGGGACCTGGTGAGATCATCTGACTCCCTTGGGCAGGGTGGGACCTGGACCGGACAGAAAAGGGCCCAGCTCCAGCCCACAGTTCTCTGGAGCAGATGGCACATGGTTTCTTCCTGTTTTGTCCTCCTCAGCTGTGCCTGGCAGAAACACAGGCTGGTATGGAAGGGGGGTGCCCCCAGGA